GCGCTCTTCGGAATCGCTATGGGTGGAATCTACGGAAACTGCGCTGCAACAGCCCTTGAAGATGCTCCTATCGAAGCCCGTGGTATCCTCTCTGGAATGCTCCAACAAGGCTACGCATTCGGCTACCTTCTCGCCACAGTCTTCGCCCGCGGACTTGTCGGCACTACATCTCATGGATGGCGCCCACTTTTCTGGTTTGGCGCTTGCCCGCCGCTGTTGATCATTCTGTTCAGAATGTATCTGCCAGAAACCAATTCGTACCTAGAGCGCCAGGCGCTGAAGGCAGAGAGAGCTGAGGGTGTAGAGGGGATCGAGAGGGTTATGTGGAAAGAGGCCAAGATTGGTTTGAAGAAGCATTGGCTACTGCTGATCTATATGGTATTGTTGATGGCCGGGTTTAACTTCATGGTAATAATCACATACGCTCAGCATCCGGACGAATTACTTGGCGCTAACATCATGAATAGTCCCACGGATCCCAAGATCTCTACCCTACCATGTTGGAGAACCAGCTCGAATTCAGCAACAACAAAGTGACCGTAACCCAGGTCGTCGCTAACCTCGGCGCTATGCTTGGTGGTACCCTCATCGGCTATTTCTCCCAGATGTTCGGTCGTCGCCTTTCCATCATTGTCGCCTGCATCGGCGGAGGTGCCCTCCTTTATCCTTACTGCTTCATCAGAAATAACGGTGTCATTGGCGCCGCCTTCGCAGAACAATTCTTCGTTCAGGGTGCCTGGGGTGTCGTCCCCATCCATCTCGTCGAGCTCTCTCCCGCCGCGGCCAGGACTACCATTGTCGGTTCCGCATATCAGCTTGGTAACCTTGTCTCCTCGGCGTCCTCGACCATCGAGGCGACTATGGGCGAGAAGTTTAGACTTTCTGGTGAAGGTACCACTGCTAGATATAACTACGGATTGGTCATGGCAATCTTTATGGGCTGTGTCTTTGCCTATGTGATTATATTGACATTCATCGGCCCCGAAGCTTTGGGCAGAGATATGGCAGAGAGCACAGTTGCGGAGGATGTTGCTGATAGGAAGGGAGAATGGGAGGATGGCGAGAAGGCTGGAGTAGTCGAGGATGAGGGGAGAAGAGTTCCCGTTTAAAGATTTTACGAATCAGTTATGTATATGTAGGCTAGCTACTTACTTTATGAGATTATAATGGAAATGAATAATTTCGCATGCCAGACCTTCAAATTCTTCTACTCGAAAAAGATCCGTAGGATGACGCTTATCTGAGTAACGGTTCAGGAATCATGATCGATCAAAGTCTGCCACTCACGCAGCTGTCCTTAGAGGATTAATTGAGCACTAATGAGTTGCACCAAAAAAGAAAATATGGCGATTATGTAGTGTTGAATACGTAATAGTAAATTCTCCATCAAATAGGACATTTTCTGAGCTCGTTCCCAGATCAACTTCACCAGGCTCCCAAGATGCTCGACTCGCAATTACACATTCAATTTACAATTAAGCGTTTCTCGGGCCGGATGCATGGTTGGGCATGAGATATTATAGAATAGCACTGAGACTGCTGAAATTCACAGAGGTAAATGTAGGTAGTATCTACACGGTGTCAACATCGAGAATAATTGGCTTATCACTACATAGCCCCTCATACTATTATAAGATGGAAGTGTGGTGTTTTGCTTGCTATATATAAAATCAACAAAGATAGTAAAATGATGATACCACGCGGCCGGAGAGCAAAGAACTGTTTCATACGACGTGACGGATAAGAAATTGAAATCTAAGACAGAGACTAGAGAAGACAATAGTTCGGTTATTCACTTGTCTAGACCTCTTGGTATTTTATTAAATCTGAAAGACGTGGAATAGTGGGTACCATGACGAAATAAATCTGTTCTGGGTCTACCTTCATAGAATCTCACTCGGTAATCCATGAGGAAGTAAAGCACTCTCGCATAAGCGTATTCGAGTGATAAACTATGAAGATATTTGGTTTATTTTTTGGGACTTGACTTTAACAATAGCTAATTGATATATAGAAATTTAGAACTACATTAATAACTCAGAAGAAATAATTCGAACTTTAATAATACTTGTCTAAGCATATATATTTCAATTATTTCGCCACGAGAATTTATAATGGCACTAACCTAATTTGAAATCTGCAGAAAATGCTCAATGATGGATAAAGATATAACCTAGGCCTAGTAGCCTCCAGCTTTTGCTACAGATACAGCGGTACGATCCTGAAGTCTGATATCTAATCAGTATATAATTATAACCTGCATATGCAATGTACATTTAAAAGCTTTTGATTGGCTCATTGAGATAGGTTTTTGTTTCACTTGAAACATGTTGTGTTGGATATGAACATAGGGTATTGTGCTGAGTGATGTTAGATTGTTAATAGGTTTTCAACTGGTTCTGGGAATTGATTAGTAGATCGATTTTAGCGGCTTGGTGGCTGTTAAAGGGATACTTGCAGCTTGAACTGTGACCTATCCACTGATATATGGGGGGTATCACTGATCAGAAAAGGCACATATCGACCAGAGCAGATATAGTGATGGACTTTGCCTGCCAGGAGGGTTCGAGGGCCGTGCAGCGGCCTGAGAGCCCCGACTGACAGGCAAATAGAGAAAATAAGCCGCAAGGCGGCTTGCCTGTATATTGGACTGATTGATATACATGTAGTACCGGCCGAAGGCCGGAAACCATTTGTATAGTATATATAGGTTTGCAGTATGTACAAGGCATATCTATATATCCTGCCTTTTCAATACTTGATTCTTCCTCTTTTCTGCACATATGTATTGCTTGCTACTTGGAGGTTAAGGCAGGGAACAATGACATGAACGCTATCGAAACAAGGACCAACTAGTACATCGTATATTAGCTTCATAGCACGTATTAGCCTTAATAGTGTCGATCTCTAACTCTGCTGGTCGCCAAGCCCCTCCTGCCTCCCCAACTAATCTCGAGTCGCCTTTCTTCTGCTCCTTTGTAATAGGGAGCGATATCAATGTTAGTTTCTGTATGATCTTTGGGTAGGAGGCCCGAAAGATCCAAAGCTTGGGTTATCATCTGACTAGCAAGCGCAATATAGCTCATTTGCTTTGACTTTATCGTTGTCACCAGCTAGACTGGGCGGCGGGTCTGGTCGAGTTTTGCTATCGGCTCGAGCCTTCCAATAAATATGTTAATCCTTCAATAAGACAAACTATGGGGACACTACATGTAGTCTTTGTGAAAAATAGATCTTTAGTTCCACCTGGGCAAAGCCCCCTTTAACCATGTATCGACAAGAGCTTCAATTCTAATGCATTACTAGGAAGCTCGACAAGTAACTCCCCCTGCTCGATGCAATCTTGCTCGAGAGTAGAACTCGAGAAGAAAGCTCGAGCTGTGAACTAGATCTATAGAGCGGACTCGACTCGTCGACTACAGTATTCTTATTCAGAATCAGAATCAGACAATGACAATGCCAACAGACTGTCACAGGTAAATAATAGTTTATGAACGTATTTCCAAAGTTATTTTTTGCTCACAGCTCATGCCAACACTCGAAACAAGGCAATTTTTGACCCAATTCTGAGCTAGTTATCCAAAGAATAAATACCAGAGAATATTTGTCGCTATATAACTATATACATTAATCTATTCTTTTTGTTGTTTATAAAATTGAAGTTGAAGACGTCACCGACAGTGTATGTAGCCCATCATGAAGCACTCAAGGGGGGGAGGAGAGGTGTTGTATCGACCAGCTGGCCTCTAGCTCTGTCTCCAGCAGGATCTGCCTTGGACTGCGTAGAGCTAGACACACGTATACTTCGAACTTGATGTTCCTCGAGGGGGCTTCGTTTCAATTGACAATAGTTATTAAATATTCATTTACGAGCGCGAGTAAAACTTATTAGGAAAACATTTCAATGATAGAAATCGGAGTATCTCTACCCCCACATGCCCAATGAGCTGGTTCGAGACTCATATTAAAGAGAGAATATATGCGTATGTGCAAATTGCTACTAGTAATCTAACTGCGCCTAGGAAACCTCTAGACGAGGCAATACCGTGAGGATGTCGTAGCTAGTATATCAGGGTGCTTCGGCCTTGTTGGTATGTCTAGAACTGGGCCTCGGGGCAAATACCTCGACCTCGTGGACAGTACTGTATGATGAGAGCGAACGCCCCTTAATTACGAGTGGGCCATATATGCAAAGCCAAACAGGAATCTTAAAGTGATATCACGCAAATGAGGGGGAATATTTCACCTTTGCAATTGGTAATCTCGGTTTGTAAGTCTTTCTAACTGGCCACGAATCGGTGCGAATGTTCGCCCGTACTTAACCTTTCTAACTCCAAATGGGTTCAGAAATTTTCCGATCAATCAATGATGACAGATACTCCCGGAGCTCCGTTACAATGATAATTAATCTGTTTATATATAGCCATGCGTAATGAGGTCGATTGTGAGGCGGATAGAAGTTTTGGAGAGGTGCAGCAAGGGCTCCACAAAGATGAAATACAGGTCTCGATAACAAATCCACACTGCTAATGTACCGGCCCCAATACATGCAGTTCAAAATATGACAACGGAGGTCCGAAGAACTAACATTATAAATTTGGTGACTTGACAACTTTGCATTTGAAATCACGGATAAACCATAATCCGACAACACGTGATCGACATCTGTATATACCAGGTAGGCATGGCGGGATTCTGAATCAGTGAAAGATGCATTGATAAAACCTGTTTTAAGGTCGGTAGAGTACTACTCTACTCGTATTTTCCTGGTGTGGTCTATAGCAGCGCGGTCTCACTTTGGGGGCGCGGCGCTGCAGGTTTCGGCGCTGGGGCCATTATGGACAAAAAGGGTAAGAAACATATAGTTAAAAAATCATTGTAATAGTGCGCCAGAACCAAAAAAAAGGGGTATTCATATTCAATCACTCGTTTTGGTGTCTATTTCAACCATACATCTCGGGTAACCAAATATACACTTTATCCTACCTTAACCATACAAAATGAGCTCAACACTAATTCCACTACCTGCAAATCACGAGGACTGGATCCAAACTCTATGGCTCGCCCAAGTTGTCGGCAAATTTACTTTAAATGAGCGAGATTACAAAACCTATTGGCCCCTCGTTGATGGTTTTTGGTCACATAGAAAAACTGAGAATCACCTTCACGGAAAGTTCAAAACTCATTACTATGCATGCCAGTTAGGACCAAAACGCGTATCGTCTAAAGCAGAACCATATCCTACAGAGACTAAAAGTGGGAAAAAACACGTTACTTCTTGCAGTCTGCCTGGTACCTGTCCAGTAAAGATCAAAATCATTGAGCCAATTCAATTTGGGACAGATGATCAAAAACTATGGACAATATCTCAAGTATTGGGCTGTAACGATACTGGTTTTAAGTTCCATGACCACGATATCAACGCTTCATGGAAAGCGAAAAGAAGCTCGTTCTTGACCAACATTATCAAGGACGAATTAGCAAAAGGTTATACCCCTAGTCAGGTAAAAGATAGACTACGTGGTGTGGGACGTGTCGCAGGATATGAACGTTTGGAATCTATTGGTGGTGCATTTATGAAAAGGTAAGACTCTCATTTCCAGTAGGAGGAATTTTTTATTACTATATACTGATTTCTAAATAGAAAAGATTGCGTAAACCTAGCAAAAGGAATGTGTTTAGATATCAGAAAACCTGCTCCGGGAACGACACTGCAGGATGATTGGGACGCTGCCACTACATTTCTTTTGAAGGAAGGCTACTTTTGCGAAACAATATCTACACCCACTACCAATCTCAACGCTCGGAATAGCCAAATACCTGCTGCTCTACATACACGTAGTTTAGTTTTTGCTCATCCAGATCGCTTATCCACCCTTGCCAAACGAGGTTATTTGACAATATTTGACTCCACTCATAAAGTTAATGTACAAGGATACAACCTGTTCACGTTTATGTGCAGGAATGAGTTCGGAATTTAGATTCCCGGCGCCAACTGTTTAGTAGAGACTGAAAATTCAGATGTGCTAGCGGAGGCTATGCGTCGCATTTATGATTGGAGTCAACAGAAATGGAAAATGCAGTATCCATTGACGGATAACAGCGCAATTGAAAAAGCTGCTGTAAGGAAAGCCTTTGGAAGTACCGGGTACATTAAGAACCACCTTCTTTGTACTGTACATACAGAGCGTACTCTGCAAAGAAACTTTAAGTCTGAAGAAGGCCAGGCCTCACTTGAACTTCTCAAGCATGTAATGAGGGTATTAAGTGAAGAGTGGTGCCTTTCCCTCTGTCAAGAGGCATTATTGCACGCCTCATCTGAAAAGAAAAAAACCTATATTAGGAAAGAGCTCATCGAGTCGCGGAGGCATTGGGCACTGTACGCATGACAGCACTGTCAGTTACTCTTGCAAGTAACGTCCACAAACGCATGCGAGGATTGGCATAGCAGGTTAAAGAATGGTGCTGGTCAAAAAAAAGGCGAAACCAGTACACATGGGATTTTCGGATGCATTCGAACAGTGCACGACTGCAGTCATGATATTGAGAATCTTCTCCATTCTGCAGAAATCGAATCAAAGACTAAACAGGTCTCGTTGGCGAAAGTACCAGGTTACGCGGGCATTCGCTTGTTTCCCTATACAGTACAGAAGATAATTGCTACTGAACACAGCAAGTTAGCAATTAGGTTGGAGCAAAATATACCTGTTCCGATCCGTGAACGGTTATCAAACGGGCTGTATGCCTGCAATTGTCTATTTTCGCGTCGATATCGCCTTCCCTGCCAGCATGTTTTCCATATTGACCATGATGCCTGAGTATCTGGTCAGCTTGAATCGATTCTAACCGATAATATTTGGGTGTGTTATCAAGCACTGTTAGGTGATGGTGGAATGGAGGTATCTGAAGGTATTGCAGGAGATTGCGCAGTTGAGAGCTTAATTTTAAAGCCAGATCCTGAGCGAACTACCCGGGTATTGAAGCTAGGAGAACTGAATGAGCGGATCCGATGGCTATTCTATAAACTAGTAGAATCTCAAGGGGGTGAGTAGCGAGTATTCCGCAGGGTACGAAGAGTGTAATAGGGGACGGTATGGGAACTCGCAATAGGGGTACTAGGGGACTCTAGCGTTGGTAAGGTCCGACGAGACAAGGAGGAATCGAGGCGGTGGTCTTCTTAAAGAAAGAATAGGACGATAATATTGTATAGCAATAGACAGCGTAAATACAGAAGACATTGCGTAAAGAAAGAAGAAGCAAAAGAACGAGAAATACAAACAACCCCCCTTAATATACTCAAGGAAATCCCAACGATGACAAATCCAACATGACTCATACATTAACAATCAACAGAACCCGGTAGAACCCAATAGAACCTTTCTGACTAATCCGACTCTTCGTAACCCCGTATATCCACTAGTCGATCCATGAAAAAGAAGAAGATCCTCACCTCTCATCCGGATTCATTGAGATCTTTGAGAATCATCTATCATCTGTAGTAGTTCCGGAAAATGGTGCCTAGATATTGTATAGCTCTTTGTATTTATCACATGCCATTGTCCCTACTAAAATCGTTAATACCTCCCCTTCAACATATTAAGAGTTGTGAAAAACACTTGCAAAATGCCCGAAATTTCTCGGGGGGGCTCCTCGCACCCCAGGTCCCCCCTCGGCGGGGAGTGGCCCCGCATCCACCCGCGTTTCAGCATAGGCGGGAGCGATTTAGGGGACATCCCTAAAGACCCCGCTGTGCTGATAGTGATAGTTAGTGACCATTGTTATCACGAAAGGATGTAGGGCTGTGAGCGTATGGAAGGTAAAAGGGAGCGAGTTACCGGACTGGAATAGTGTTGTACTGTGCATGGACCACCCTCCATTACCAGCAGCCGAGTGTAACGGGGGTCCTTTCTAAGAGAAATGGAATCGGATAGAATAGAGACGGCCGTGCAAGATAGACAATCAGGTTGCAGATTATTCAAAGATACTATCGCTAGAACTCAATAATCTTTAAGGGCTCTGCTACCGATAAGAACTTGGTTTTTCTTTCTGATGAAGACTGGAGAGAATAGGACTGAAGGGCGAGAATGAACCTGAGTACTTATACTCCGAAGGCCTCTATTCTCTGCTCCTAACTCCTTACTAAGTTCCGGTGAAGCCTTTCCTTGGTGCCGGAACAATACCACTGCTACCCCGCTTTTCTCTAAGCGTCAGCAGGTGTTTCCGATACTCAAGGCAACTACCCTTAGTCAAAGCCTTTGTAACACCTGCAGCCATGGTTGCCACACAACCGGGGCCTGCATGAATGAGCTGCCGCTCAGATGTAAGCTTAATCATTGCTGTAGAGCTCTCGCTTATTGTAGACTTCCCTAGCATAGTCCCTGCCTCTTCGGCGGTCTTACAATGCTCAGAGGATACAGAGGATCACCGGGCAATCAGAGCTTCACTCTGGCCAGTCTTCTAGTCACTGGCGAGGCATAGACTCGTCAGTCATTGCTCCCATGAATAGATCCCCTTCCTAGCGCCCGGAATGTAGTTACTCTAACAGCTGGTAGCTAACCACACTGCCGGTACTTGCATATCACCGTGCAACTGGCTTCTAACAATAACTCTCAGCATGTAACCGGGCCCTGTGTGTACTCATACACCAGACAGTTGAAATGGCTCCGTTACACCACTCCCCTCTTCCAGGATCTTGGTCTCCGAGATCTATAACCATTCTATTACCATCCATTCTATGTGACAAGAAACTCCGTGATATGCAAGGAATGAAAATCCAAAGGAAAAAACTACACCCCAGCAATCCGCTTGTCCTTGGGTTTCTTAGGATACCTCATATGGAAATCCCGAAGGGCTTCTTCAGCACTCTTCTTGAGATGCTCCCAAGGTTCCCATGTAGCATCCTCGTTCTCATAACCTTCCCACAGCACTAGGTATTCCACTCGTCTTCCTTTCTTTTTGACCCGGCTATCAGCCACCTCTCGGACAACCCAGTTCTGTTCTCCTTCAATCTCTTCAGGTTCCGGTGGTGGAACTCTTCTCTCAGGATCTACCGGTGCTCTATAAGGTTCCAGAAGGGAGACATGAAAGACCGGGTGGATTCTCATTTGAGGGGGAAGAGAGAGCTTGTAGGCACGGGTACCAATAGCTTCTAAGACATTGAAGGGTCCCATCTTCTTCTGATCCAGTTTTCCCAAAGGCCGCTTTGTTTGCACATTACGCCGGTCCAACATAACTTCATCTCCGGGCTTGAGTTCAGGCGGTGACAGGGCATGAGCATCATACCACCGGGCCATCCTTAATCTAGCTTTACCCAAGCTGGCGTTCATAGCCTGCCAGATAGATTCCCATTGAGATATCATGACCTCACTCGCTGGATTGTTCCATTCTACTCCTTCCTTTGGGGCCGGCCAGTTGGTCCTGGGTTCATATCCATAGTTGGCATAGAAAGCCGATACTTTGGTAGACTCAGAGACCGCCGAGTTATATGCATACTCTGCCAAAGGCAAGAGTTCTGCCCAGTCATCCTGTTGATATGAACAATAACTTCCGCAAGTAATGTTCCAGGGTATGGTTAACTCTTTCTGTTTGACCGTCCGTTTGGGGGTGGAAAGATGTGGACATCTTCAGCTTCATATTGAGAATGCTCATGAGAGATTGCCAAAAGTGAGAGATGAACCTGCTGTCTCTGTCCGACACTATGTCATCAGGTAAACCATGGAGTCTCCAAATTTCCTTCAAGAACAACTTAGCCAAATCTTCCGTTTTATTGAGTGTAGGAAGAGGGATGTAGTGTGCCATCTTCGAAAAACGGTCCACTATTACCCAGATCTTTGTAAACCCACTAGATTCCGGTAATCCCACAATGAAGTCCATAGAGATGGAAGTCCATGGCCGATAAGGTATCTCCAACGGCTGGAGCATACCAAACTTCTTATGTCTTGAGGTCTTATTCCTCTGGCAGCTATCACAGCTCCGGACATATTCCTCAACATCCTTATCCATGTTGGGCCAAAAGAAGTTGTTTTTCACCCGCTCTAGTGTCTTAAATTGGCCAAAATGACCAGCCACCTTAGAGTCATGTGTATCGGACAGTATTTCAATCTGAAGCTTCTTATCTTTGGGTATATACCATCTATTCTTGTAGAAGATGAGACCGTTCTTGACCGACAAGTTCTGGTCCAAATTTGGTTTCCTTTCAACCAGGGAGCGGTGCAGTTCCTGCCAGAAACTATCCTCTTTAGCAGCCGCATATAGGCGCTCTAAGAATGTATTCTGCAATTGATTCACCCTGACAGCCGATAGCTTTGCAGGATCCAAAACCAATTGACCTGGCCTAAAAAAGATCTGTGGCTCCGGCTGCAGTGTTTCACCTCCCTCTCCAAGGCGGTGATCCCAGCGCCTAGATAGCACATCAGTCTTGCCATTCTTTTCTCCCGGTCTGTAGACAACTTTAAAATTGTAGCCTGCGAGGTCCTCGGACCATCTAGCTTGCCGCCTAGTAAGAATCTTGGTAGAATTAAAATACTCCAAGTTCTTGTGGTCTGTAAAAACCGTGATCTCCTGCTCACAAGATTTGAGCATGTGTTCC